TCTTCTGGGTTGTTGCGCTGTGTAGTCTGGTCGATGTTAACCAACGTTTCAGAGATCATACTGCCTCCATCATCAGGGCGATGAATGTCGCCCTGATGACGGAGGCAGTATGACCTCTGAAACTTTGGTTAACATCGACCAGACTACACAGCGCAACAACCCAGAAGACAGAAATCTTCATACTCACCGCTGTGAAAACCTCAAATCTTATAATTGAAGATGTCGTCCGTATGGTCGTTTGTTTTTATTTCTACTGTTCTCTGATTTGTGACTTTTCTTTAATTGTTGCAGATGATTGGCATTCTTACTTGTTCATGAGATCCAAGGTTCGAATCCCAGTTCTTCGTCTCAAGCTGTACAGTCCGGTGTGAACTTTGACTTCCCGCACAATTCCTCTCCGGTCCTGACGATCCTTGGCTGCAGAGTGCCGGCTTTTAATTCCCATAATTTTCAAATCTCCTTCTATTTCATCTTTCCACCTTTTACATGGCCCTTCAACTCCTTCAATATTAGTTATCATTGTATTTTTTGGCATTCGTTCCTTCTCCGTTTTTACGATGTGTCCGTACCATCTCAGTCTGAAAGATTTTATAACTTTTTGAATCCCGGTTCAGAAACTGGTAATCTTGAGTGGGGTTATTAAATCTTTTTGCGTAGATAAGAAACTGTTGGAGAACCATTGAATAATTTAAGAAACTTCGTTTGAAAATGTAAAGGTTTGTCCGTAAGCCTTCAAAAAGTGCTGCTTAGGAACATTTAACATTCTGCTGATACTGCCGTTCGCGGTTCGGGTATGTTTTTACTGTAGGACGTCCAATATGGGTGCCTGTAAGTGTTTGTTGTTATCATCACTGGTATAAGGGGTTTACCATCAGAAAAGGGATTAAAGCGGCCCATCCACTTGCGAGTCTGTCTCGGCGAGCTTGACTCGTGAGCCGGGCTCGGATATATTTCACCACACATGCACAGCGGACTCCCAAACTTTACTCGTACATTTCAGTATCCAGAATGAGTTTATTGAAGCACGTTGCAGCAGCGGTGACGAATGTGGTGTTTTCGCGAGAACGAAGAATAAGAAGAAGAAAATGTGGGTTAAGAACTGTTGCTACAAAGAGAAAGATTCACACATTTAAATTTACTGAACTTGAATTGCACGAGTAGATCCCAGGCCTCATCCCGCTTTTCCCTGTTGGAATAATCTGCGCTGCGAACCTTCCACAAAACTGGTAATTCACGGTACTCTTCCAAAAATTTGTCACAATGTCTGGGCTCATGAGCGTTTAGTTCGCCGTGGAAGCCAACATCCTCTGGTAACAACACAGAACAAGTCACAAACACACTTGTCTGCAC